CTTTCCCTCGGGTGTGCCCTCGGGCATCAAATCCCTGGCCCAGACACTCCCCGTTTTAAAAGTCCCCAATTTGGACGAGATCAAGGACAAGTACGTGGACGGTCCTGACATCCTCGGGACGGAGGAACTGAGTAGCTTTGCTTCCACAGTCGCGACTTCTCTCTTGAACGGTGTGATTCCAAGTCTAGAATATAACATGACCGATACAAGTACAGACGATAATTTTACCAGTAATTACACGGCGGTAGAGGTCGTTGAGACTTCGGAGAGGAATTATTGGACATTACTTCTTCTCCTCTTCCCGGTCTTTACCGTTTTTGGCAACATCTTAGTGCTGATGTCCGTGTACAAAGAAAGGTCATTGCAAACTGTGACCAATTATTTCATCGTTTCTCTGGCAGTGGCTGACCTCCTGGTGGCATCTCTTGTCATGCCCTTTGCTGTCTATTATCTGGTAAGTACAGATACTTACGTCGTCTGTTATATCTGTTTTCAAAGTCCAAATAATATTTCCATCTGTGTATTGTGCAACACATGACCCCCAAAATATTGGTACACATGAATTCTTCTCCAATACTTTCGTTATCATAACATTATTTACATTACTACATAATAATTAAATTTGTTGGTAAATTTTCTAAGTAGTTTTGTCAAAATCGGGTTTATATATATATATATATATATATATATATATATATATATATATATATATATATATATATATATATATATATATATATATATATATATATATATATATATATATATATATATATATATATATACATATGTGTGTGTGTGTGTGTGTGTGTGTATTATTTTATTATCTATACTTAAAACTCCAAACACAAAAACTTTTAAAAATAACTTCAAGTTCTCATTGTTCTTAGCTGTCACAAGAACCTATAAAATTCATATACAAGATGATGGTAGGCAAGTCATCGAAAGCTCATTCACAAAGCCACATGGCTCTTCATAGGATAATTTCGAACAACGGGGAAATTAAGGCTATTTTTTCTGAGGTTAAACAGACATGTTCATAAAAAAAAGACCTGTTACTCTATTAGAGAAGCTCTCTCTTTACGCTCTCTTCGAAGAGGATGTAAGAAGCATGGTGTCTTGGTCCCTTAAGTGAAACATATATTGCTCTTTCATATTTTCCCCTAACATATATATATATATATATATATATATATATATATATATATATATATATATATATATATATATATATATATATATATATATATATATATATATATATATATATATATATATATATAATTTTGTTTATTTATTGAAGTTAATTTTTTGTTAATAAAACTTAGCGATACTGTAGCTGAAGGTTTTTTGAACTTCAATAGGTCTGTCCAGAACAGTTCGATGTTAAATCTTTCTTTAGTTACGGTTCTTTTTCTATGCCTACAGCTACACTGAATATTCTTGGATATTCATTACACATCTTTTATAATCTCCACATCTGACAGGTCATTACACTCTCCATCTCTGATTCTCTTTACGTTATATATTCTTCGTGCCCAGGCCCGATGAGGGCTGTTTTATTTTATTATTTTTTGGTCAGTCCTGGTGTCCAAAAAAAAAAAATAGTAAGTAAAATCCTGCTGATGATAGAAGTCTGACCAAATAAAATGATAATGCAGATATTATCTATTAAATAAACATTATACATTCACAATACCCTCGATAGAGTAATACTGCAGATAATACATTAAATACTAGAATATACATAAATAGCAGGATTATACATCTGTATTACAGATTGTGCATATATTATACACTTTATACATAAGTAATTTATAGCATTCATAAATATTGTAAATATTTAATAATTCTACATATGCAATATACAGTGTACATTTATTATGTAGAATATGCATAACTCATACATATACAAAGAAAACAGATTTTACATAAACAATACAGTTTATATACGACTCCGTATCTATCTATCTATCTATCTATCTATCTATCTATCTATCTATCTATCTATCTATCTATACATGTGTGTGTGTGTGTGTGCACGCGCTTGTGTGTATGTGTAAATTTAAAACTCATAAATAAGTCTTCAAATCACATAAATCATAGACAAAAAAGGAAAATAAAATTAGCAAATTGCAAAAATATGATTTCACACTGACGTTATTTATCAATTTTTTAATGTATAAAACATAAATATAAAGAAAAAAATAAATACATAAATAAATAAGATCGATAAATCGAATGACATTAATGTTGTATTTATAAAAAAAGATAAAAACAAACAAACACTCACATACAAGTGCAAATATCCCAAATATATAATATTTTCAGCTAGTCAAACGAGGTTGAGAAGAAACTGTCAAATGAACAAAAAGCATTCGGTAGAAAGCGTTCATTCCCTAGATTAGCAGTTAGATGAGAGGTTGGTTAAAAGCATTCAGTAGAATGCGTTCATTCCGTAGCTTAGCAGTTAGCTGAGAGGTTGGTTTCATCTTACAGACCTTCGGTGGCGTAGTTGGTAGCGCCTTGGGACGTTGATGGTGTGTCCTGGGCTCGAATCCCGGCCAAAGGCAATATATGTTTCATGTTTTCACATATGATAATGTGTTTATATGGTCATATATTAATAAACATTTGAATATTAAAAAGAAAGACCCTAAATAAAAATACGAAAAAAATAGATAATATTAATAATGAAGGGAAATATATAAAACTTTCGAATAAGTGCAAATATCTCTTAATTACCAGGGAATTATTATTATTATTATTATTATTATTATTATTATTATTATTATTATTATTATTATTATTATTATAATATATATATATATATATATATATATATATATATATATATATATATATATATATATATATATATATATATATATATAGTTTATTTTTTTTAGAGTAAATGTTCAAGATTTTAATAAAAGTTAATTTAAAATAAATATATCGAAAATATCTGAAAAAGTTCCATCTCTGCTTGTTAAGATGCATAACATCCGAGAGTAAATCTCATATTGCTTTTGATTGTTTGATAACTCCAGAAAAATGACAATGTAAGCAGGATTTAGATCATGAATATATAAATATTTAGAGAGTTATAGAGAGTCTCTGATTTGTTCCGGTTTTACGTCAAGGACTCCCTTTTCAACCAAGGGCTAGGACGGTTGCCTTCTTGCGAAGGACTTGTTTTGGCAGATGTAATCGTTACTCTGAGTGCATGCCTATGCTAACCTCAGACCGTGACGGGGCGCCAGAAATGATGACTAATTAAAAAAAAATACGGAAAAAAAGACAGTCATTAAGCTATTGTAAAAAAAAAAAATGATTATGCAAGAATGAATTAAAATTAAAAAAAAAAATAATATTAGAGAATTGTAGAAATATCTATCATTGATGAATACTAATAAAAAAAATATAGAAAATAAACAGTCAAATAGAACACACTGTAAAGACAAAAAAAATAAATTAGAGAATTGTAGAGAATTTCTATCAATGATGGATAAAAAAAAAAAAAAAAAAAAAAAATATATATATATATATATATATATATATATATATATATATATATATATATATATATATATATATATATATATATATATATATATATATATATATAATAAACAGTCATATAAAACATATTGTAAAGATACAAAAAAAATATATGTTAAAGAAGGATAAACCAATTTAACGCCTTGTAAAAGATAAATAAGATATAATACAAAAGTCTTTGTAAAGATATATTAAAGAAAAAAAAATACCTTCTCGAGTTAAAATAACACAACAGGAAGTTCTTTCTATTTTTCATTTATGAGAGTTTGATTATTTCGCAAAAATGCATGCATGCGCGCATATGTGTATGCATAGTTAAAAACTACAATATTTACCTATTTGTGTTCATGGGAAAGAGACCTCTATTGTTGATTTTCCGTTTCCTGGCCAATTTTCTGATTCTATGATACTTGTCACGTGTTTCAAAAAAGTACACCGATTTTTTTTTATTTTTAACTTTCGCAGTTTCATCGCTTTGTCTGCCTGCATGCATGCGTGTGTGTGTGTGTGTGTGTGTGTGTGTGTGTGTGTGTATGACACTCTGTGTGTATTTAATTATGGGAGAGAGAGAGAGAGAGAGAGAGAGAGAGAGAGAGAGAGAGAGAGAGAGAGAGAGAGAGAGAGAGAGAGAGAGAGAGAGAGAGAGAGAGAGTGTGTGTGTGTGTATGTTTGTGTGTGTGTGTGTGTGTGTCTGTATATCTCTTTCATCTAAAAATATATTCAGTGATTCGTTGCTGTGTTTGCAAAATTTAACGAGGACTATACAAAAAAAAAAAGTAAAATGTGTTTTGTTCGCTATGCCAATTTTATTCGACAGAAATAAAAGTTCAAAGAAGGTCAAAACCTTATTTTTTTGTTTTTGTTTTTTGTTTTTCTTTTTGTTTCGTCATTGTGTGTTTGATTTGTTTTTGTGAGTAGGAATTATTTTTTTTTCTTTTTTAATTCTGTGGAATATAATAAAAATAATAATAATAATAACATTAAACACACAACTACTACTACTACTACTACTACTACTACTACTACTACTACTATTACTACTAATTAAAAATAATAATAATAATAATAATAAATATAATAATAATAATAATAATAATAATAATAATAATAATAATAATAATAATAATAATAATAATAGCATTAATGCACAACTATTACGACTACTACTACTACTACTACTACTACTACTACTACTACTACTACTACTACTACTACTACTACTACTACTACTAATAATAATAATAATAATAATAATAATAACAATAATAAAGATAATAATAATAATAATAATAATAATAATAATAATAATAATAATAATAATAATAATAATAATAATAATAAAGCCAACAGATATTCTGCAATGTAATAATTGCAGTCACAGTCAACGTTGTTGCCAGATCTTTGGCATAGCCGGGAGGACCCAAAACTAGAAAAAGCACACCTAAAAATCAAAATTTATTCTTACCAATCTGGCAACACTTACATATAGCCATCATCAATTTGGTAACACTGGAATCTGGTTCAAACAAAACTGGACTTACAGCATATGCGGCTTACAGCTTGGTTTAAGAATAGATATATATGCGTTAGTAGATCCGACTATTGATCCCTTTCATATCCATCTGACACAGATTTGATTGAAGGATCCTGTGGCAGTTAAGCAAACACACATAAATACACACATACACAAATACACACACACACACACATTGTGTGTGTATATGTGTGTATATATAAGCACATTACCATATGTGCTAACATGAATCATATATTGCCCAGACCGGGACTCGAACCTAGGACTCATAATTACTGTGCCAAGGAGCTACCAACTACACCACCGAAGGTCACCTTCTGTGGTGTAGTTGGTAGCGCCTTGGCAAAGAAATTGTCCTAATTTCGAGTCCCGGTCCCGGTCGGGGTAAAATATAATATAAATATATATATATATATATATATATATATATATATATATATATATATATATATATATATATATATATATATATATATATATATATATATATATATATATTCACAAGTACATATTTATGTAGTTTCTATATATCAACAACTTATTTTCAGAAGAGTATGTGTTCGCTCCAAATAAAAGAACACTCAAAATATCATTCAGTAATGAAAGTAAAAAAAAAAAAAAAATTAATAATATTTCTGATAGTGCCATTTCAATTTACTAATTTGAAAATACTCAAGATTTTGATTATAAATACTGTTCTCTGATGGAAATGTCATGTAACTGACATATCTTGATTTTCTTTTTTATCAGCAATTCTTCCCATGATTATATAAGTCGCTTTTTCTCACTAGCCACTTACATCTCTCGCAATCTTGCACCTCTTCTCCATTTACTACCTTCTCTCTTAGATAATTTTCTATGCAGTCTCTTGATCTTCCAATTAAATATCAATATTTTTTTTTCACATATTTGTTTTCCATCCTCATGACAAAATAATACCACTGCAACCTCTTCTTTTGGGTTATTCTAGACAAGTCTCCAAATTTAGGTGCTTCTCTTAGTCTTTCATTCCTAATCATAGTTATTTCCGTAACACTAAACGTCTATTTTCACTTTTTTTATTTCCTTTAATGAATCTTCATTTATTCTCTGTTCACTCTAATTACAGTTTGCGATCACTCTCTCTCTCTCTCTCTCTCTCTCTCTCTCTCTCTCTCTCTCTCTCTCTCTCTCCTCTCTCTCTCTCTCTCTCTCTCTCTCTATTCCTACCCATATTCGCAACACCAAATTTCCATTTTTACTTTTCTCATTATGCAAGGACCCAGTAATCTCCGGGCAATGGCTGAATATTCAAGTACACGTATAATAAATCACCAAACTCCCACTTAATTGCCCAGTTTAATCGATAACAACATGAGACAGTGAAAGGCAATTCAATCCCGGGGTCGGGACCGAACCAGCGGCTAGTATATTACCAGCCCAAGTCGGTAAGTGCCACAAGTCGCTAAGTGCCACAAGTCGCCGAGTGCCACATTTCGCTAAATATCACAAATCCCTAAGTCCCACAAGTCGCTAAGTGCCCCAAGTTCGTAAGTGCCACAACTCGCTAAGTGCCACAAGTAGCTAAGTGCCACAAGTCGCTAAGTGCCACAAGTCGCTGAGTGCCACAAGTCGCTAAGTGCCACAAGTCGCTAAGTGCCACAAGTCGCTAAGTGCCACTTACTGACAGACTGAAGCTACATAATACTACATTGCTCTAAGATCTCTGGCTCAGTGCCCAAAGCTTATAAGGTGCTCCCGACTTTTGTGAGTGATGGTTCATTCCCAGTAACAACCCTCTTTTATGTGTCAGTACTAGTTCCCACTACGGGGGCGGACATAGACAAAGAGCGGCTGGGGGATTAATGACGATTGTCCTTCTTAACATCTCACTGCGGTCTCGATCGTGGATCTATAAACTCCCGAGTTGAGCACTCTGACCACTCGGCCACTGTAGTTCCTTGGTAGTTCATTCTTAACACTTATCGGAAATTCATTATTCAAGAATGAAAAGGCGAAAATATTCCGTCCAACACCTTTAAGCCATCGAACTCCCAAACTCACGCTAATTATGATCATAAATTCTCGTGAGTCATAACCAAAGTTGAGAACTTATTTTTTTACTATGTTAAAATTTTTCTCTCTTTAGTTTTCTCTCTCTCTCTCTCTCTCTCTCTCTCTCTCTCTCTCTCTCTCTCTCTCTCTCTCTCTCTCTCTCTCTCTCTCTCTCTGTTTATCTATCTATCTATCTATCTATCTATCAATTTGAGTGGGAGTCAAAGAGATACAGGTTCGAACCCTGTTAGGAACATACCGTAGTCTCCACAAACATTATTTTGAAAGTCCCATTCTTGCGGTCGCAGAACACAGCAGCAATTATAAGCAGCGCCTTTATGAAGTAATCCTTCAACCCACAAAGCATGAGAACTTCAACATATAGATGATATATAATTAAAATTATGTCTAATGTTAATATCTCACACAATTTTTTTTATTGT